GATGCACAATAATAATAATAATAATAATCCTTGCATTTGACATAGCGCTTTTCACGTCTTCTAGACGTTCCAAAGCGCTTCACAGCATATATTGTAAAGTGAATTGACTGTATATTTGTGGGCGAACGCGGCAGCCAATTGCGCACAGCAGTGTCCCACAAACAGTCGTGGATTGAAAATGACCAATTTATTGGTGTTTTGTGTTTTTGGAGGGATTATTATTAGGTATGTGGAGTAAGGAAACTTGCCCAAGGTTTCGCCCTGCCTGGAATTGAACTCAGGTCTCTTACTTGCAAAGCGAGTGCTCAGGACTTCAAGATACCGGCAAAATAAATGTTGCAGCGCATGTACACATAAGGTTATCGGGTTCATGATTTCCCCGGATAGTGTGAATCAGTCACAAACCAGAGTAAGCTCATGTAAAATATATAACCCTCAGGTAAAACAAAAAAGTTGATCTTCAGTCCTGGTTTTGTTGCACTAACAAACATACCTTTCTTGATCTGTGAGGTACTCCAAGCTAGCTCTCTTGTTACTTGCTGGTAAGCATCCTGCAAACAATATAGGGGATGGCCCTTGTGCTCCGATACCTTGCATTCCTGGCACACTGGTACCTCGTCCAACATACAGTACTGCACCAAGTTGAACTGAGGATGCAAGATGCACTTTACTAAACCCTCCTGCTCTGGAGCGGTCAGCCTATGAGCCTCGAAGGCCTTGTTGGTGTGTACTTTTTTCAGGCACTTCTCACAGAACCTTAAGTTGCAGGTAGCACACTGGGAATGGCATGGACTGTTATCACATATCTGACAAAAGACTATGGTTTCACCAGACCCTCCGTTCCCTGTTTTCTTCTTATAAATCTGGGACATGTTTGGATCTTGGGAGTGCTTCGCCCCGCTGCTCTCCAGCAAACAGTTCACTGAGAACTTGGCTTGATCCCGTTCGCTCGTAGACTGACTCTCATGCTTGTTGCCCTTTTTGATCTTCTTGCGGTCTTTATTTTGCTTCATCCGACAGTTGGTGCACAATCTCAACTCGCATCCGAGCAATAGTGGTGCATTGTCAGGTGTTCCACACATAGGACACGTGATCTCCTGGTACAGGGATTTCCTGATCTCTCTGTTCTTTTCAATGTAGAAATCATCGTCAAACCTGTCAGGAACAAAGCTTGGTCAAGAAGTGTTCTGTATAAACTGTAATAGGTGCAATCTGTGCTTTACATACATAAGTGCCAATTTATATTGCCCCTCTTAAAGTATCACACAGCACATTCGCTAGTGTTTTTACGAGGAAAGATTTAATCGAGTTTTCCACGCAGTACTGGATACATTTTGCGTTGTGGATCTATGCAGTGATTTAGAAATGCAATTGCTATGCTGTCCAGTTCAAAAACCTTACTCATTGTGAGACATCAAAGCTATTTGTTAGTATAGGATTATGATCAGGAACAGCACAACTTGCATTTATACAACGCCCTTCAAGTAGACTAACAGCTCTAAAAACTTTACAGTGATGGGGACAGATGCTGAGCACGGGGGAGGGGAGAGTGTGGAAGGAGGGGCGACCATAGGCATGTTTGAAGGTTTTTCCTGGCACGGTTGACAGGAAAACAGGTTTAAAGCAGGAAGGTTCCAACTGGTAATCTTAAGGGTATCACTTTATTATAGATTGTTTTCCTTTAATATATTTTGGCACCAGGTATTATTCTTGACCTTCTTGCCCCCTCGAGTTAACCCAGCCATCCCATTAATTAACACCCAATGTTAAACAGGTACTGAAATACAAAGTCCACAGCTTTCAAAATCATTTCTAATTTGCTATTTACCTAGCAGTAAGGATGGAGCCTTGGGGTGACCAGGTGGGGGCGAGAGGAAAAACCATTGGCCAAGATGAAGTGCTGGTGGTTGGTTAAGGTCCTATAGTATCGTTACCACACTGTCCTCAGAACACGGTCATGTTTCAGATTTCAGCAGTAACCTATTGATGAATCAGATTCCTTGGAGCATAATAATACATCAATATCTTGTAATATTTTCAACTCCTTTTACAGAGCTGAAGTCGATTCAGATTCCAGTAGCCTCTATGGAGTGCAATATGTTTGCCATGATTTATTTGCATTTTTTGCAGCATGTTTTCTATGATTTCCCTGAAAACTCCTCAAGATAGACTTGTCACAAGCTACATTAAAGATGGACCTTCTACCCAAAGTCATGAGCAAGGTCAGGACTTCCCGACAGTTTCACAGGGCAGAAGGTTCCCTGGCAGTCAAAAGATCAATTTCATTCGCATAATTCAGTGGAGAGAAAGACAGTTCAGTGAAAGGTCTTGAGAACCCAGCGAGTTCTGTGAATTGTGACAAGAGACCTATTAATAGGAATAACTTTGCACTTAAAGTAAGTTGATCCTCCCCAAAGGTTCGTTCAAAACGGCATTTTATGTTGAAATATTTTCAGCGTTTCTAGGTAAGCACAGACACTGAGCATAACTTATTGTCTTGACCTTCTCAACCAAAGTCCTTGGGACGTCCTGTGGACCCAGATTGGGGCGGTGATGGGGGGGAGCAGAGGGCACCCCATGATGTCATGTGCTCTGAGATCATAATGTCAGGAAGAGTGAGAGGGGTTAAGAATGAAATTAGATTCAAATAAATACAAGGCTTCAGACCCCAGGCCTGCAACAAAATACACAGCTATCTTCAGGATGGAAACCTGATCGATAATTTAATCATCGTTCATATAAATCTTCATAACACAATATTTGTTGAAATTCCCACCTGCTGGCAAAATTAAGGCATTTACAATTCAAGCTTTGTTGATCTCTGATCAGATAGATGCTGGGATTATGGCTCACACTCTGCACATATCGCCAAAGAGAAGGTGTTTTCACCACATCACTGTGGGCCAGATTTGACCCCGTTCCTACAGGTAAAGGACAAATGAACGAATAACTCACCATCTGGTGCTGATGCTTTTACATGGAGACCAGAGCAACATGCCTTTATATAATGCCCTTCACACAGAATAGTGTCTCAGAGCGCTGAAACATTAACCACTGAGAAAGGTAAACTTTCTTTTATATTGAACACCTCACTCACCTCATTTCTGCATTTTCATAAGCATCGCAGTTGATTTTGAAACGGGACAGCATTCTCATGAACAGCCCACAAGACTGCCTTTCCTGCCCCTTCATTGCTTCATGACTATATCTGTCATCCCATTCTTGAGTTGATTTCTTGCACCCAAAGCAATTTGACTTATTTTCCTGACTGCTCTTTTGGCACAGCATTTTGTGTTAAAATGTTTACAAAGCTGTTTGTATTTAGGCACAGAGTCTGAGCTACAACTTCTTCCTTTGGCACACTGTCTCTGACCAAACTGCTTCTGGTGCTTCCTGTGGCTCACTCTCTGATGTCATGTAATCTGAGGTCACAATGTTAGAGATTCTGCGAGTCAAAGGGGTTAAGAATGAAACTTGATTCAAATAAATACAACCCATCACAAGTACAACCCGTCACAAGTATAACAGGAGGGTATCGAACCTATTCTGCCGGTGTGTAAGGTGATGCTGCATCTTTCAATCCCATTTCACTGGCTTTCTCTCATACGCCTCAATGCCCTCACTAGGTATGACTCATTCCGTAAGTAGTACCCTTACTTCGCAAGTGTCTAGCTCCCTCCAAATCCTCAACTATCCAATGCCTTGGGATGTCCTCCCGAAATGAAAGGTACAATATAAATGCAATTTGTTGCTGTTATTGTTGTGGATACAGTACATTTCATACAGGATAGCGTCATGAAGTGTTTGACAGTGGTGAAGCTTGATGCTGAGCCGAACATCCCATTTAGACCCAAATTGATTCTGTTTCTGTGGCCTTCTATGGCAGTGCATTCCATTTTTACAATGCTTTATGTGAAGAAATGTTTCTGATCCCATTTCTAGTTGAACTAGTTACAATTCTAAGATGCATAGAACCATCAGAATTTGGGAATTCAGCTCAATGCATGTGTTCTGGCTCTCTGAAACAATAAATTCATAATGGTGTAATCCATGTTCCTGCCTTTCCCCATATTGTCTAATCCTCTCTTAACTTTAATATGAATTCCAGGTTAGGCACTCTATGTCCTAACAATCCTTATATATTTATTTTCCCAATCCCTCCCTTTGTTCTTTGGGCAATTCATTAAATCTATGCCCTCTAGTTAACGACTCACTAGAGGCAGTAATTTTTGCGAATTAATTTATTTTGATCAACGGGGATTTGACCCCTCGGAAACCCATGACTATCCTTACAAGTATCCGAACTGAACTGAAAGTTCCATGCTTCCCACCTACACATTCAAAAACATGTGACTGGAACAAAATGCGCACTCTGTCCCTGGATAATTCCAGAATGTATTAGGTGGATTGGCAAAAGCTAAGGCTTGGAGACCCCAGAATATGTGTTAGGGTCCTGCTGGAGTTTAACCAGCTAAAACCACTTTATGTGTCATTGAAAATACTGTTTGTCAAGGTTTCCGCTACTTGTCCAGTTACAACAACAACTTGCATTTATATAGCGCCTTCATGTAAGGTAGCGTTCTGGAGCCCTTGACAGTGGTAGAGTCTGACAACGAGTCAGGCAGAGAGCGGGGAGGTGAAGCCTTGATTTCTGAACGTGTTTTCACAAACCCAGAATCCAGTTAACGCCTTCCAGCAGGTATCACCCCAAGCCTCAGAGTTTCCTTATCACCTATTTGACAGACAGACACCTGCCTTGTGGGAGCTGGTATGTCACAAGCTAACCTTTACAGGACAGCTTGTGACTTACCAGCCAGCTGTTCTTGAAGTCCAAACCCAATGCTGTGTACAAGATTTTTTCAGCACCAGCTGTTTAATCCAGATTCTCATTTGAGGTGCATGGCAAATAGAAGTGAAGCCAACTTCTCCTCAGCAACAGGTCAGTTTAGGCCAGTGTCCAGAACTATTATCTTCCATTAATAACATAAAATCACATTTTTAAGTTCAACATTTTATTTTAAAAAATAAGTTCTTGTTAAATGTTTACAGTGTGTATAGCGTAGCATTAGAGAACTCATTAAATATTTTGTTTCATATTAATTCCTGACCGACTTGAATTGTTTGATAACCCGAAGAGGTGGAACACATTTAGAAAGCAATACAAATTTACTATTGTTCTATCTGTAGTTTAATTATTTGCCATACTAGGGCCTTTTAATACATGTCAATTAAAGAGAATTAACCGTAATTTTCTTATGATTGAATCATCATAAACGGCTACCTTGTGCCTACATTTTGAGTAAAGAAAAAAATAATGACCTGCCTGTAAATGTACATATATTTTACAATGCCCCAAAATCAGCTATGAAGTGATCGACCAATTTTATCTGGAGGATTGTTGATCAGGACACTGGGCAAAACTTCATGGATGGTATAGAACTTGTCAAACGAGAAGCTGAAAATAAATTGCTGTGAATAATAATAATAATCTTTGCATTTGATACAGTGCCTATAATGCCGAGAACGGTTTGAAGCATTTCACAAAGTTTCTGCAAAGTGTAGTGACTATTTATTTGTAGCCATTTCCATTGAATTGCAACGATTCAGGATTTGAAGTTAATCTTCACTGCGGCAGGTTCCTTCTTCCTTGTTGAGGAATGTAGAGCAACGTGCTGGTATTGAGTCTTTGCTATCTTTTTCTTTTGCCTGAAGAAATAATGCAACATTAATGTTACAATAATCCAACAGCTTTTCACAAGGGAGATTCAAAGTAGATGCTTCAGCTCATATGATCTCATACTTATAGAACTCCCCCCACCCACCACCACTGTCTTTGAATTACAGCATCAAAGCATCAACTAAAACAAGCCATCTCTAAAACATTATCTTTCACTATATTTTATCGCAATACAAACTGAGCAATGAATAAACAAATCTTATACATTATCCACAAGACCATCCTATTTCTTCCAGCAGAGAACTACAATAGCATCCAGATTTTCTCAATGCAGAAATGGAGCATTAAGAGGACAATGTGTTCATGAAATGAACAGGAACCAAGTATCATAGCGTTTCAATTGACACCTCTCTGTTTACTTACACTCTCAAGTTTTCCACATCCGCAATGGTATCTGGTAAGACCATACCCTTTGACTCAGGTAAAAGCAGCACTAATCCACCAGCAACCAAACCAATAATCCCTGCAAATGAACGGTCATGATGAAAAATATTTAGTGCGTGAATACTTTATTAACCATTACATCTTTTGTTAAATGATGATGGTGATTAAAACTGGCTTGAATTTTAACAATGTTTCATCAGAGGTCCATTGATGGTTCCCTCGGCCTCGTTCCCACCCTCTCCTCGTTAAAGAACTCTTATTAATCATGCTTTTGGTTGTCTTCTCCCCTCCCCTCCACCCCAGCTCCACCTGTAGCTCGGATGTCCATACAGTACTATTGATTCCTCCTAATGTGAAAAGTTCTATATAAATGCCAATTTGTATTGTAAGCAGATGAAGGGATTGACTGGAGCAGCAGTGGGCCTTGGAGACTATCAGGCTTGAATCCCGAACAAGTTTGTCATTCTCAGATAGCGCAGTTTAAGCGTTCTGGTATGCCGCCTGGCGTGGAGGGCGCTATATAAATGCAAGGTGGTATTGTTGTTGTCGGGGATGTAGAAGGCCTGAAAATTCACCTAGATCTAGCCTCTACCACCATTTATCTTAAAATTTAAGATCTCCCAAAAGTGAGAAACCTCAGAAATTAATTCATAACTTGGAAAACGTTTTTTTGCAATTCTTCAAAAGAACCAGCTTCCAAATTAAGATTGGTTTAATAATTTTCCACAATTTCCACCATACTAATAATAATCTTTGCATTTGATATAACGCCTAATCGTATCGTTGAAACGTCTCAAAGCGCTTCACAGGATATACTGTAAAGTGGAGTCACTCTTTTTGAGATCCCTAAAATAATCAGACAACACCATCTTAAGGTTAAGAGTAGGTGAAAGTTATTGGCATCAGCACTACTTGGTTGTGGTGGTGGAGGGGAAACCAGCCAGGATAGATGAGATACAGATATATCATTATTTATTTTGTTAAGTGATGGGGTCTGGTGCCCTACTGCTTGTCCCAATTGAGGTTCACCACCTCGGCTCACACTTGACGAATTACTACTTGGAATGGTTGAAAACTAGATTGCGGTGAGGATTTATAATAAAAAAATTGATATGCAATTTGATGCGTTATTATTATGTGTTAAAATTATTCTTCTGCACTGATAACATGGGTTGAATGTATTCTAATACAAGGTGCTAAAATACTCACCAAAAACCACCAGAGGCATTTCTATCCATATCGCTGCTAGCCTGTACAGAATGAATGGGGCTACTATTCCCCCTGCGTCACACAGTGCTGAGCATACCGACACTGCAAAGTTCCTGTCAGAGAAATGTCACATGTTTTATATCTCTGTGAAACAGAATTTGTTTCACCTCTTCAAATTTAAAAATTAAAAGGAGAATCTATTATTTTACAAAACACAATAATAATAATAATCCTTGCATTTGAATTCTTATCATGCCGTTAAGACATCTCAAAGCACTTCACAGAATATACCGTAAAGTGAATTGGTTGAGTAGTTTGTAGACAAAACGCAGCAGCCAATTGTGTGCAGCAGTGCCCCACAAACAATTGTGGATTGAAGGATTATTATCCCCAGAAAGCAATCTGCCAATTGACTAACAACCGTGTTACTAGTTATTGCAGGGTAAACAAAGGCACATGGAGTCAGGAAACTTGCCTGAGGTTTTACCCTGCCTGGGAATCGAACCCAGTCCTCTCGCTTGCAAGGTGAGTGCTCTGAATCAATATGCTACAGAACTGTAAATTGTACAATTGTAAATACAGAAATTTATCTAGTTTTCTTTACTCGTGGTAATACTGTATACTAATGACTATGGAATTAATCTCAAATTGATATATTTTCTTTTCTAAATATTCACTTGACCGTTAGTATATTTTCTCCATGATTAAATTATGGTTTGGAAAATATTTTTTTTAAAGTATGTATTTTAAAGGACACACATTCTTTGGACCCTGAGTAACAATGCCAAGCAATACACCATACACCTTTTGGTGATCTTTAAAATATTGATATCATCCTGCAAAGGTGAATACAGTATTCCTCCATGCTAAAAACAATGACAAAACTCAACTTTACAAGCATTTAAATACGTCCTGCGAATTAACTTTAATGTTTTTCAATTCTGATCATGAGAGTAGTAATTTAATTTACAATAACATCACAACAGTCAGTGTTGGCACTTGATTGGCACTAGTAATAGTATTATTGTTCATTAAAAGGTTGCTGTTAGGGTACTTTTCACTTACCTTAAAAACGTGGGGTATAATTCAGTATTTACAAAACAGACCATTTCAAATGTTACAGTTATTCCCAGTCTACCCAAACATGCAATCGCGGTTTTCAGCCACAAGAAATCTGAATAGGAAAAAAATGCAAATAATTTGCAAAAAGAAAATTTCATTTAAATAAGAAAACAATATTTTATTTACTGGATTAACATATCAATTTCACATAAAACCATAATGTAACCAGTTGAATTTAGTGAACTATTTTGATCTCTTTTAGAAATATATGTCTTGCACAGTTCATAGAATCATAGAATTATACAGCACAGAAGGAGGTCATTCGGCGCATCATGTCTGTACCACCTCTTTGAAAAGAGCTATGCAATTCAATCCCAGTTCCCGCTCTCTCCCTGCAAACTTGTCCTCCCCAAATAATTATCTACTTCTCTCTTAAAAGTTGTTATCGATGGCTTCCACCACCCTTTCAGGCAATGCATTCCAGATCCAAACAACTCTCTGTGTAAAACATGTTTTGCCTCACCTCCCCTCTGTTTCTTTTACAACGATTTTAAATTGGTATCCTCGGGTTACCGAACCACCCGCCAGTGGAAATAGTTTCTCCTTGTTCAGCCTATCGAATCCCCTCATAATTTTGAAATCTTCTATTAAGTCTCCTCTTAAACTTCTCTGCTCCAAGGAGAATAATCCCAGCTTCTCTCGCCTCTCCTGATAACTGAAGTCCTTCATTCCTGGTACCATCCTGGTAAATCTCCTTTGCACCCTCTCCAATGCCTTGACATTATTCCTAAAGTGTGGGGCCCAGAACTGAACACAGTCTCTAGCTGAGGCCTAACTAGTGTTTTATAAAGGTTCATCATAACTTCCTGACTTTTGATTTCTATGCCCCTATTTATAAAGTCTAGTATCCCATATGCTTTTTTAACAGCTTTATCTACCTGTTCTGCCACCTTCAAATATTTACTTATATGAACCCCCAGGTCTCTCTGTTCCTTCCCCCCCTTTAAGATTGTACCATCAGCTTATATTGCCTCTCATCATTCTTCCTCCCAAAATGCATCGTTTTGCATTTCTCCACATTAAACTTCACCTGCCACTTGTCTGATCATGTTACCAGTCTGTCTATGTCCTCTTGCAGTCTGCTACTATCCTCCTCACTGTTTATTACTTTTCCTAGCTTAGTATCTGCAAACTTAGAAATTGTACTCCCTATATCCAAGTCCAAGTCATTAATATAGATCAAAAACAGTTGAGTATTAGTTTCAACATTATAACACACTTGAACCATACCTCTTCGACCATGCCATCGGCCACCCCACTTCCCCTCCCCTCCCATCTCCCCCCCTGACCCCAGCTCAGGTCTGAAATGTTGTACACTGTCCAGCGCCTTGGGACGTCCTCCCGATGTGAAAGATGCTATACAAATGTAATCTTGTTATTGTTGTTGAAGAACACTGTGCAAAACTAAAAGGTGAATAACTATTTTTGTCAACTGTTTTGAAGAAAATATCTATGTTAGTAACTTGATGATAATAATAATAATCCTTGTGTTTGATATAGCGCTTTTCATGTCTTCTAGACGTCTCAAAGCGCTTCACAGATTATACTGTAAAGTGAATTGATTGTACATTTTTGGGCGAAACGTGACAGTCCATTGTGCACAGCAGAGTCCCGCCATCAGTCATGGATTGAGTGACCAAATTATTATTTTTTTACTCAGAGTAACATGGGTTTCTTTGTTATGCTGTTAATAAATACACGAAAGATGTCTAAGAACATAACATGACATGTTATGGGAAAGCCTATTCAATTCAGCAAGCCCATTCCCCTGGACAGCTTACGCATGAGAACCTTATCATTACTATCCCATGCCTCACTGATTCCTCAATATCAAGGATGTTATACACACTTCGCAAAGCCCCTGATATCCACCAAGTTGTTAACATGCCCATAGTCCAATCCTTTTTCTCAACATTTATCATAACCTATTCCCTTTAAAGATATAGGTTGAATTAACTACTCGAGTCAGAATATTTGTTGCACATAGCTACAATCCTGCTGGGAAAAAATAACAATGACATCGCTGTGATCTTTTCTGCATAATGTAGAGTTCAAGTACCAGAATCATCTTCCATACTTTTCTCACTCCAACACATCAATTTCCTTTTGATGTTACAATGGCCAAACCCAGGCACTGTATTGAAAACATAGACTCTATAGTGATCTGAACAAGGTTAGAATAACTTACATGGATTGTGCTGCATTTGTGCTGCACACTTACCAGCAATTCACTGTCACTGTGCAGTATAAAAGTATACAATTCACAATTCACTGTGCAGTATAAAAGGGAGATCAAACGCTGTCAATTGTGCTAGAGGTGGTTTAAGGAGCTTTACTATTTACACCTCCACAGTATGAAAACAGCAGGTTCAACAATCAACTCTCCCCATTACAACAACAAATATTATTTTAAGGCTCCTAGTTCCACTGGATCATGTGGCTTCCCACTGTCAAAATATCACCTCCTCAATATCTTGCTTGCTCTTGGATATTGGATACATCATCTGTCAAAGCATCTGAAAGGATCGGAGACTAATTTTTCCCAGGTTGGCAGTGAACTATTTGCTGTGATTTGGTCAGAGTTTAGGGCAATCGGCAAAGCTTTCGACAGCAACTTGTTAGCCAGTCCTGAAATCAACAACAACCACCGCAACAACAAAATTACATTTGTATAACGCCTTTCACTTCGGGAGGACGTCCCAAGGCACTGGATAGACAGAGTTTCGGACCCAAGAGCAATCAGCTTCAAGAGCAATTGAAAAGAATCCCAAAAATAAGACTTGGGGAAAATCAGCTGATACCCCGCAACATCACAGAAGTGTACTCATTCCTCAAGTACCGAATGCAGCAGCCAATGTACCAAAATCTAGCAACATCTTGTGAACACAATATATAGACCAGGGTTTGCCAACCAGTCGATGGTCACTAGGTGGCACTGTCACGCACGATCAGAAAGACATGAATAGAAGGAGCGATAGAACTGCATTGTTATTGAGTCAAAATGAAAACCAAGCCAGATGCAAGTATTTCATGTATCTGGAAATAAAAATATAAACTTTAATGTTCAAGCTGCAGTAAATATTGCTCCTGCCTCTTGCTTTCATTCAGCATGTGCAAGGCAGGTTGGAGACATCTAAATTATAGTCAGATACATTTTAATTAAACTTCCCAATTGGAATTGCTGAGGTTTGATTAAGTAATTTGTTACCTATTCAACATTTGGCCGTAATATATGGTTGTGCAACCCGCTGGACAGATTTTAAATGTTGGGAATAATGTTGAGAATAATAAATAGAACATGATAACTGTTCATACAGCATTAACAGTCTGCAAGGAGAAAAATGAGTCGTTAAAAATGAGTTCTTAAATGCAATCATTCAATCGGAAAGTCTAAGTGATGTCATTGCGCATGGTCTGATGCCTCTTTAAATTACAGCACTGTGAGGCGAGTGCTCAGGGCACAACCTTAGGCAACAACTTGCATTTATATAGGGCCGTTCACGTCGGGTGGCATCCCGGAGTACTTGACAGTAGCAGAGTCTGACTTCAAGCCAGGGGGAGAGAGAGGGGGGAGGTGACTGTAAGCATGATCAAAAAGGAAGGTCTTGAGATGGGATTTTAAAATGGGGAGGAAGCAAGGCAGGCGGATTGAGGGAGGGAGTTCCATGAGCCTCGGGGCATTGTGGCTGAAGGCATGGCCACCGATGGTGGAGCAGAGGGGGCGAGGACTGAACAGGAGGCCGAAGATGGCCAAGCGGAGGCAGCGGGTGGTGGAGCGGAGGGGTAAGCAGGTTGGATAGGTTGGGAGGTGAGAGGGCATGAAGGGATTTGAAAACGAGTGAGAGGATCTTAAAGTTGATCCATTTGGCAATTAGGAGCCAGTGGAACCTGGCAAGGTCTGGTGTGATGGGGGTACGGAGTTTTGTGTGGGTTAGTATCTGGGTGGCGGACTTTTGAATTAACTGAATTTTGTTTATGGTGGAGCTGGGGAGACCAGCAAGGAGGGCATTTGAATAGTCCAGCCAGGAAGTGACAAAGGTGTGGACGAGGGTTTCGGCTGCTGTGGCTGTCCACCTGAAAAGGCAAACTTCCTTACGCCACATACCTCTGTTTACCTAACAGTAATTAGTCTATTAGCAGATTGATTTTCCAAGGGTAATAATCCCTTCAACAAAAAACATTTTTTTAAAAAAATAATAATTTGGTCACTCAATCCATGACTGTTTGTGGGACACTGCTGTGCACAATTGGCTGCCTCATTTTGTCCTCAAAATGTACAGTCAATTCACTTTACAGTATATTCTGTGAAGCATTTTGAGATGTCTCAAAGACGTGATAAGGCACTATATCAAATACAAGAATTATTATTATTATTGTTATAAGTAAGCCTACCTTTAAAATTAAACATTAAATATATAAGGGGCATTCAGTTCCAGGTATTATTTCTCAGATCACATGTGGACTGAGCGCGCAGTCATCCACACAGACCAGCGCGACCAATAAAGGCACGTCACTGGCCTCTCTCTTGACTTATCCCAGATATCAGAGGAGTTTTCCTGCCACAACTCAAAGCTGCCATTTGTGACTTCCAAAACTGCTACACAGGTTAAACAGCACAAACTCCACAGCATCAGGGTCTGCAGCAAATAATAATAATTCTTGCAGTTGATATAGCACCTATAACTCCAAAACATCTCAAAGAGCTTCAAGCGAACAAATGTCAGTGATTGCATTTAAAGGCAACATAATGTCCTACGATTTATGTGGTGACTGTCCAATTTATCTGGATTTACCCATTTTAGTTCGCCAGGAAAGCAGGAGAAATTCCCTTTGCTTTTCAAATAGTGTCATGGGAACTTTACCATCCACCTGAATAGGCAGACAAGACCTTGGTTTAACATTTCACCCACCTCAGACAATATACAGAGTGACCAAAAGATTGTAATACCAGCTTTGGATGCTCCTTTAAGAGTAAATTAACAATTAACAAAAGGGTCAATAAGAAGAAGGGCAGGAAGTACAAAAGGACATTGGGAGTGGGACAAAGTGTGTGGTTTAGAGTGGTGGATTATTGAGAGTTTGGATTGACAGATAAACAAGCTACTAACACAGCTTGAAACAAAAACAGAAGTCGCTGGGAATGCTCAGCAGGTCAGTCAGCATCTATGAAGAAAGGAAAGTGAGTCAACGTTTCGGGTCCACGACCCTTCGTCAGAACAAACCTTTGATTTGGATCAAGTTATATTACAACCATCACAATGTCTAATAAGTCTTAAAGAAATGAAGATTATATATTTTTTTTTCAGGTGATAGTATCATGTCTTTTTGGTCACCCTGTACAACTCCTCCCCCATCATTACACTGGAGCGTCAGCCCTGACTCATGAACTCAAGTCTTAATGTGTGTTTCGAACAAACAACCTTCTGACTCAGAGGTGATTGTGTTACCAACTGAGTTAAGCCAATACTGAGTTGTTTCTTATTGAAGCTGGTCGGTCATATAGAATCATCCCAGGACTTGGTTTGATTGCCTTGGTGAGCAACACTGCAAAGGTTAACTGTAGAGAGAACACAATCCCTTGGATGCTTAATAGCATCTTCAAAGGCAACCCTCTAAGGGCAGTCACCATCTAAAATTTAGGTGGATTTCGAAATAAGAATTTGTTTTTCTTCAGGCTCTATCCATTTTTCTTCCTCTTCTTTTTATCTCACCTCTTACCTCTCTCTCTCTCTCTCTCTCTCTTTTTCACATCCCAGCCAGTAACTTGCCAGGTACTGTGTACGAAACAAAAGAATTTACTCGATCCAAATTGGAACCTGACAGGATGTTAGGACATAAGAACACAGGAATATATGGAAGAACAAAGAGGCCACTCAGCCCATCCAGCCTGTTCCCTCCACCAGACCACTTGCAATATGTCCCTTCACAGACTCAACCACAAATAAACTTCCCCAGTCCCTAGAGGAAATCAGGCACAGCAGCAAAATGTTATCAATCTTACGTCCCACGCTCACACCCAGATAACTTGCATGGCTGCAATCTTTTGAGCATTTTGAATTATTGTAACAATCTTTGCATCTGATATATACATCTGATATCATGTCGTTGAGACATCTCAAAATTCTTGTTAAGTGTAGTGACTATGTATTTATAGGTGAACACAGTAGCCAATTTGTGCACAGCAATGTCCCACTTTATTTATGTAGTGTTTCCCAACATCCACAATGTGGCAGATTATTGAATTTAAGAATTTGCCAAATTCTGCAATGTTACAAAAATAGAGTAAATTTAGATCAAAGTGGAATCTGATATAGTTCCTTTCACATTGCTAGGATGTCTCAAAGCACTTCACAAGATCTTATACAATGAGAGCAAGTCTTTGCAATCATCATCCTCTTTGTCTCTCACTTTATTTTTTATTTTACTGATTCTATGATAGGGTCATTATCATGAACATTACAGTATAGGAGGAAGCCATTTGGCTCATTAGCCCTAGCTTCCCGCTGGAGCTAATTCTTAGCGTTCTTCATACTATGTACTTAATGGAGGTCCAGAGGGTGGGGATAGAAAGGCTGAAGGCCCAACGCCAGGGCTGGGGACATGAAACAGGCTAGCGGCTACCGAGCCGAGAGGGACAGGTTGATAATGGTTTAGTAGGTTGCAGAGATGGGAAGGAGCAAGACTGAGGAGGGCTTTAAAAGTGAGGACGAGGATCTTGAACTCAATCCTCTGGGGGATGGTATGGCATTAGTAAACCACAAGCCACGTTTGAACAGTGATGTGTGCGATCACCTTGAAGCCTGTGTAAGAACCTATAAAGGCAACACCAGCTCACCTTGTATATTATCTGTTAAATCGTACCATGATATGAATGAGATGCTGGTTTAGAATCCCAGCATTTGGATGCGACTTACCTTTAGGTATAAAGGCAGCTATCAAACAGGATCCCCCCGCAACCAGGCCACCTGCGGCAAAAGGAAGACGCCGGCCAATCCTTTCAATAACTAAGACAATAATCACTGACGCTGGAATTTCCACAGCTCCCGAGATAAAAAAATCAAGGTAAATGTTTCCGCCCAAAATTCCCAAACGCATGATAAGGCCTTGATAAATCATCGCACTTGCAAACCTACAAGGAAGAGAATACATTTAATAAGTTAGCTTAGTGTCATGCAAGTAACTGCTGAGCCAGCAGTGTAATAGAAAAACGATTGTTGTTGCTGAGAAAAATAACACTGGGGACTAATTTATAATAAGAATACTTTGATGTATTATTTAAAGGTGCTACATCAAATAATGCATTTGATGTAGCACCTTTCACATTCAGAAGATGTCTCAAAGTGCTTCACAGGATTTTACTGTGAAGCGTAGTGACTGTGTATTTTGTAGGTGGACGTGGTAGTAATGAAGGAACGCACAGCAATGTCCCGTTAGCAGCCATGAAGTGAATGACCAAATTGGTGGTATTTTTTAACAGATTTCTTAATAAGCAATGTAGTAGTGACAGCTGACAATCTGCTTGATTTGTAGCTCTAAGGAAGTCCATTATCTCCTTACGTTTGGAGTTGGAGGTGAGGATGGAGGGAGCATAGGAAGGTAGGCAGCGGAGGTGGGTGTGGTGGAGTAAAGGAGCTTAAGGTTGTCTAGAGATCCAAGTCCAATGTTGTGCACCATTCACTCAACAGAAATTGTTTAATCCAGGTCCTCATGTGAAGGACCTTGACAAATACACTCCTCTATCATTAGGTTGACTTTGCCTCCAGGGTGCTGAATGACAGATCAGCATAGCTTGGCACCCCCTCTCTCTATAGCCATTTCAACTTTTTACCACAAATCCAGCTCAATGTATGTCCTGAATTTAGTAAATTAACAAGTGAATATTTCAACCAGCAATAGTTTGCTGTTATGTTGTCTTTGCTAACTTATGGATAGGACAGGTTAAGTTCTAAGTGCACTTACATTGTTGTTGCATGGAAAATGTCTATATTATATGCTTTAATAGCTTAGTAGCTTTTCATTTCTATCAATATTAGATGCTTAATGTCACAACTGCAAATTCTATCTGGTGCTAAATTGCAAAATCAGCATTGCAAGCATTTCTAAAAGCTTTCTGTAAATAGATCACAGCACAATGCTTTCAGGTTAATGGATTCACTTAAAAAGACGGCATAAAAAGCTCAGTTTGTGAAAACTCCTTGTATCACTGCTAGCAATGCGAGAGTAGTATTTTTAACCAGCAGCTAAAAATAACATTCAGATTCTTTACATCACAACGCTTTCAAACACAGTGATGGAGCACAAAATTGTGAGGCTAACAAATGTAACAGCGTATGCAAAGCAACCAGCTAAGACATATAAATAAAGGCAGATAGAATGGAATGATTTCAAATCCTTAATCTAATCTTAGGATTGAGGTGAAAAGTGTTGACCATTTCTGCTCGGAGTCCAATGGGAGTCAGATAATTGTAGTTTGTAACATCATTTAAAACTCCTTGATTAGATTACAAACTTAGAACTGATCCTGGCTCTCCACTGGTCTATGAGATTACTTATTAGACTATTTTAGGTGACTCTCCAGATGCCTGCTGCTGAATCCTTTACATGGGTTCAAAATGTTTTTAACTGAGCGGAAACATCCTCACTGTAAAACTGAGGATGGTCACATAGGTGACGCAAAATAATCTTTAACTTCATAAGCAATCTAGGTCGGAATTCCACTTAGCCTTAGACCACTTGATCCTAAAATGTAAGATTGCACAGAATTGTGGAAAATGTCTTCTATTTGGTTACATTGAAGGCTGATATCACCAAAGCCCATACACATGGCACTAAACAGAATTTTTATCACTAGGTGGAATATCAAGTCATCTACAGTACAGGTATATACTAAATGTGGATCTGTCAAATTTACTTATTATACAGGAAGAATAGGAAGATTCAGTTATACAAAGAAATGATCTCACCAGTTGAACATCAAAATGAGGGTTTGTTTCCTCATCTGTGGCGTTCTGACAAGATCTATGAATGAAGGAGAACCAACTGCCTTATTGCACTCTTCAACTGTAATTGACTGAAAAAGTAAAAATATAACAATAATACAAATATTAGAAGAGTCCTTGCATTTGATATTGCACCTTATCATGTCGTCAAGATATCTCAAAGTGTTTCTCAAGATTTTACAGTGAAGTGTAGTGACTGTGTATTTGTAGGGGACCAAGCAGCCAATTTGTGCGCAGTGATATTCCTCAAACAGCCAAGGAAGTGAGTGACTAATGTTATTTGGGGATTGTTGGCCACGACAAATAGTCCCGTGGGATCTTTAACATCCACCTCATCAGATAGACAGGACCTCGGTTTAACATCTCTTCCGAAAGTTGGTACTGCCAGCACTGCACTGGAGTGTCAGCCTAGACTGTGAATTCAAAGTCCAACCTGTGGCTTCAACCCAAAACCTTCTGACTCGGAGGCGAGAGTCCTACCAACCAATTCAGGCTGTCAGAAAACATGTTTGCCAGATTCGCAGAATATATTAGCAGTGATGTGACTGTGTGTATTTTGTGGGTCAAATGCTAAGAAAATATAGTAATATATGATTGCTCACAGTGGCATCATCACGATCGTGTATTTTGTAGTTTTATTTACAATTTCCACTGAATTTTCAATCAAACGTTTTTAAAAAAAGTCAATGGAACAAATATTTTTTAGATTACATACTAAATTGCAGCAATCAAGAAGAAGTCTCTTAAACAATAATCCCAACTCATAAAGTCATAATGCTTATAACATAGGAGTAAGCAATTCGGTACAACATGTTTGCCCTGGTGCTACTTCCCCCATTGCAGCTATCTCAACTGTTCCCATTCTACAGCTCTTTTCACATAGCCTGTAATATTATTCTTTTTCAAAGGTTTATCGAATTTCTTTCTAATTGTGGTTGTAGACTCAGTTTCAACACTTTAGAGAAGAGCCCAGTTAACTACGAAAAGACATTTGACTATGTTGGCTACTAATGTGATTTCTCCATTAAAATCATGGATTGCCACACTTAACAATGAGTTCCCATATTTACTGCGTAATACTCTTATACAGGTTACCTTAGAACTGCTTGTGAGAGTCTTCCCATTTCTTTTTGCCATTGTCTGTAAAACTTTCATAGCCTCTGCATTTTTCCTTCGAGTAAGCATCCATCTGGGAGATTCTGGGATCAGCCTAAAACGTAATAATTCCAGATTATTGTTATGTCAGTTATATCTATACCAGACACGGTAATAATTGGTAACTATTGCTTTCATGTACTTTACCAGTAGTAACTCAGAAAGAGGAAGTTTGGTATTGTGGCAGCCAATTGCAGATTTCTCCAGTCTTGTATAAAATAGGCAACAGCTGGCAGTATCATCATCCCAATGCTAAACCACATCTGGTTCAGTATTCCTGCTGTTCTTCTGTACTCCAGTCCGACAATTTCTGTGACTGTAGAAGAAAAATGAAATAGTTACTTGTAAGCTCTATGTACAAATGAGAGCATGCACACCATACACTGGTTTAATAATCAACAACAATTTACATTTATGGAGTGCCTTCCAGATAAAAAAGAGTTTCTGTTTTGTCTGCTGTGACTCCTTGGCTGAACACATAGAGTCAATCCACAATGTTGGATGTACCTGAGCTCTTTGTGGCCTTCGGTGTGTTTCCTGGTGAATCTAATTACTACTTCTTTGGAGTGAGGGGATGCCATATCAAATTGACAATAATGGGGTTTAATATGCAACGATTACTAATAGGACTCTTCAGTAAGGAAACTGGAAGAACACCACAGTAATTTGTGGGAATTCAAAACTGAAAGTAGACTGCATTGTAGTCGAGTTCTCACAAGCCGACTTGACGTACAGTAGAGCGCTGCCTACCATGTTCACTTCACTGTCTCTGGGGAACAAATGATATCGGTGCTGAAATGTTAAAATATTGATGAAAATGTTTATTTTTAATAATTAATTTGATATAGCACCTAATTATGTTGTCGAGACGTCTCAAAGCACCTCACAGGATACACAGTAAAGTGCAGTGACTGTGTGTATTTTGCAGGTGATTGCGGCTCACACTGTTCAAAATTATGATGGATGTGACAATGAGTGTCACCTTAAGAGACAATGCAAGACAATGTAGCAAGTTGACGCTCTGCCCTTTATAAATGTGAAAACAACATTTGCACATCTTACATCAACATGAGATTCGGCACTTATTTGAATCCCTATCTGTGAGCAAAGAATTGCTCACCCCATCCTTAACCATGAGTGAGTTATAATTCTGTTTTATACAGGTTTGCCTTCTCAGCTCCAGATCATCCCGAACTCTGCGGCCCGTTTTCTCTCCTGCACCAACCAACCACTGCTGTCCCATTTCCACAGCTATGCCCTCCACTGCCCCAAATCTGGCCTTTGTCACTGGTGGTTGATCTTTGTTCTGCTCTCTGGAATTGGATTCCCAAACCCCATCACCTCGCCTTCTCCCAATTTGCTTTCGCCCTACCCCCCCCCCCCCCCCCCCCTAACATCTCCCCATCTCTCTCCGGCTTGGGCCCCCACTCTGTCTTTGTAAAACGCTTTGAGACGTTCTCTTACATGAAAGTGTAAGTTATTGTTGTTGTTATAAGTTAAGGCCAGTACTACCAATATCCCCAACCTCATTTATAAATAAGTATGGATCTGTGAATTAGGAAGTGCTCTTCTGACCTTGCAGTTACGATGCACTGGTGAAACAACAGGTTTACTCTGGCTCTGACCCTTGCATTGGTAAACAATAACAATAATCCTTGTATTCGATATGGTGCCTTATCATGTTGTTGAGGCATTTCAAAGCGCCTCACAGAATATACTGTAAAGTAAATTGACTGAATATTTTGTGGGCGAAATGCGGCAGCCAATTGCGCACGGCAGTGTCCCATAAACAGTCACAGATTGAGTGACCAAACAAAAATGTTTTTGTTGCAGGGATTATTATCCCTGGAAAGCGATCCACCAGTCAACTAACAACTGGGTTCCTACTTACTACTAGATAAACAGAGGCGTGTGGAGTAAGGATGTGATCATGTAAATGGGATCATGCTTAATTCCTACATGGGGTACAAGAAACAGCTAACTTTTCTTACTTTAAGTAACTTAGGTTTTTAAGTTAGATTACAAAATTCAGGAATAGAAATAAAGTAATAATCACATGAAAGAGCAGAACTGAGGAACAATTCAGGCTTTTTGTCTCAGACAAGTCACAGCGAGTGAATAAACATACTGCTCCTGTTGTTCCTCTGTTTACTCGTGTGTTCCAAATAGACAACAGATAATGTTGGGTGCAGGGGTTTGGAAAACAATAGTCAGCACAAGATAAGACCATCAATAAGAAAAGCTTTGGGGATAACAGCAAAGATATCAGGAGCCTTTGCTGGTTTCTAACTACATTATTATTATCATCTCCTCTATATATTGCAGGCCTGAAATTCCACCTCGTCTTTCCTGCGACTAGTGTGTCTTAAAATTTAGGAATCACACAGGATTGTCAAAAAATCTTCAATTCAGACTGGATTTGCAAGGCACCTCTTTTTAACAACAGCAGAAAATTTGCTTCCAAATTCAAGCATTTCCACAATTCTGCGAGATTTTTTAAAAAATCTTAAAATAACATGGAATGCAGACTGAGACTAGGTGAAATTTAAGGTCTTGCATGTCTATCAGGAAATGCAGATTATATTGCAGTGAAACCGACTCCAATGGACTTTTATTCAAAAATCATATTATTGTAGCACTTCAAACTAACACTCCCCTACTTGCATGACTTAGTAAATGATCTATTTTTATAGTGGGCCATGAACAAGCTTGCAGATTAGAGACCATTTATATGCCATTACTAGATGCGAGAAAATGTAGTTTTTCTAAATTTTCCAATAATCTACTATTATGATGTGGAAATCTATTCACAATTCATAAGGAGGAAAGATGCAACGTGCTAGAGGAAATTAATTCAAGATAATAGGCAGGGGAGCAAAGGGGAGATTAGGAATGATTTCTTTTAAACACAGAGTTGTTAGGATATGGAATGTGCCACAGGGTGCAGTGATCGGGACAGAATCCTTATTAGCTTTCAAGAAGGAACGAGAGATATTGTAGATAAAAAGGAGGAATTTACAAGGGTAAGGGGAAAAGCCAGATAAATGGAATTGAATGCTTTGCTCTTTCAAAACACCAGCACAGACTCAATGTGCCAAATGATCTTCTGTGCCATAAATTAAAGAAGATTCTTAAGATATACATACCACATTGACCATGGTTTTGGTCATCTTACCCCTCCCCGCCCCTTTGCTCCCACCCCCCAGCTCATGTGCCCAGCCAGCAGTGTGAATCAGTATGAAACGTGTTGAGATATCCTCCCAACTTGAAAGGCACTTTATAAATGTAAATTGTATTGTACGACATGATTCAATGTCAGATAATCACAGTCAGAATAAAAAATCAGTCAGAAAAATACAGTCTATTCTTACCACTGCCTCCAACCCAGGCAAGCAATAATATTGACTGCTTTTTTGTATGATGATGGGATAGTTATTACATGCCATGTTTAACCCCCATGAATGACAGATGACAAATCATCGCTGGTTGGTGATAGCCTGACTATACTTGTGAAGTAACCTTGAAAATTTGACACGGACTGAAATAAATATAAAAGAATATCTCTTTTAGCATTGTTTAACGCATATTAATAAACTCAACTCACCACCCCATGCTTCTAACACAGGGAACAACATGATTCTTACTTAAAACATAGCCACAGAGCCATCCTCCTCTGCTGAATAAGCCTTGAAGAGTTCGGAAGATCGCAAACCACAAGTAATTCTGTGAAAATGCCACGCAAAGACCAGAAACTGAGGTCACAAGGATTGCAAACAAGAAGCATACTTTTCTGCCGAACCTGCCAAATAAAAAAAAGCATGAAATATCAAGATATATATGGCGATAGTTAAATATTAATTTGTCCAGTAAAGGGCAACTGTCCTGAGAATCATACGTACACGTCTGCTGCATAGCCCATGAATATTGTTCCGATCAGAAATCCCAGATTCAGACAGGCTTGAGAGAGGTCCAACTTCCAGGCATCAGCGCACACCAGTTCAAACTGTATACATTCCATTGTGAGAAAAATGACAATAAATTATTAATTTCTAATTGCACATGAATGAAAGGTCATTAAAACCACAGACACATTAAATCAATACTTTTCAAACTGTGTCTCACAAATTCTATTAAAAAAATCAGAACCTGAGCATGGAAAGGGTTAAAGATGTTTGGATCATTAGACCCTGCGTCTAATTTATGGTATTTCTTAATAAAAATTCCACTTACAACACCCAGAAACTCCTCTCAAGAGGTAAACTGGATTGGAGTAAAGTTCTCATCTGCCAGCATGACATAAATTCTGTTTTTTTTTGATCAGCTGGGCATCTGACACATGCAGAAACCCATCACCATGCTTAAGAGTACCCAACCCAACCTGGGAGTTTCATGAATCCCACCTGTACATGGAAATTCCTGAGATATTTATTCCACCCATTGCCTCATTGAGACGTCCTCCCGACATGACAGGCGCTATACAAATGTAATTGGTTGTTGTTGCCTAGCACATCCTGCTTACCTATTTCCAGAGAGTTTTAGGTGCATTAGGGTTAAAGGGAGCTGACTGGGAAGAGTCCTTTTGATCTGCCTTTCCAAGTTCTGTCCTCAGCAGTGCTCTGGAATACTGTAGACTCACCTGCCTCAGGAACCGGACTATGAGACTGCAAAGGCAGAGAGTTGGCTCGAACTGACATTCCATTACCCCACATGTCACTTTAGAGCCAGTTCAGCTCGAAGGAGACCCCGCTTTACCTCCCCCCACCAGGAGAATAGTCACGGGTTACTTGTTCTGGAATAAGTTCCCATTTGCATCATATTAAGAGAAATATTACAACCCTGAGTTCCTCCACGGAGCAGGCACAATGGACTCTTATCAAACTGTTCAATTTAGTGAGGAAGGGGACAGAGATGCTTCTGAAAAGTTTCAGAAATTTAGAATGCATTAGAATACAAATTTCTTCTTCATAAAAAACACAAGGGCAGAAATGTGCAGCCCAGAAGGTCAATTTGGCTCATCTCTCTGTGCTTCTGCTATCTATTAGATTCAAACCAGTTTTATTTCACACCTATAATGAAGCCTGTGATCATAATTGTTCTCTTCACCTTTTAACCTTTTCTTGAGAAATAATTTAACTCCAGCTTTTAAAATGTGTCACACTCCTCATGGCTCCAAAGTTCATTGCTTTAAAACTATTGCAATATTGTTTTTGGCCTTAGTTTTTATCACAATATCAAATCTAACTATTTATTTCAATGCTCACAAGTTAGGAGGTGTAAAGCTTCACTGGTTGGTGAAGTTACTAACCTTATCAGTAACCTTACAATAGGTACAGTTAATAAATAGATTGCCTGTTCACAATGGGATTAAATTATTAATTTTCTATTATTTACATTAGTTTTAAAGTAATTTTAAGGTGATTTTCCCAAGTGTGTCTTTGTTTTATCTTCCTACTCCATCTTTTACTTATCATCAACTGACTTAGGATCCCTCCTTTGCTTGCGTGTTTTAAACTGTACCTCTTTGTCCACAATTTCGGTCATCCTTCCCCTCCCCATCTCCCTCAGTTCCTACCCCCAGCTCAGAGGCCCATCCAATGTTGTTAAGTGCTTTGATACTTTCTCCCGAGGTGAAAGTCACTAGATAAATGTAAATTGTATTGAATATGACTCCCATTGTTCACTGCTCTTGTCATTGAAAACTGCTTAGCTGACAGGATAGGGTTGAATCTGCTATTTGTGATTCAGGATTTTGTTCTATATATTTACAATATATTAACATTTGCATTCAACATCATGTCTTATCACACAGGTTCCTTTGACCCATAATAACTGTTGCTACATAAGTTGATGCAGCAGCTATCCTTAACCAACAATATCAAACAGATACCAAAGTAAATTTGGATGAGGAAGGAAAATTGTCCAGGACACCAGGAGAATAGAACTCTTTTCAAAATAGTGCATTGGGTTCTTTAGTAATAATCCTTGCATTTTGGTATGGTACCTTTCACATCGGGAGAACATCTCAAAGCGTTTCACAGGATTTACTATGTATTTGTAGAATAACATGGCACTGCAATTATGCACCGTAATGTCCCACAAACAAACAACAACAATAAATTACATTTGTAAAGCGCCTTTCACGTCAGGAGGACAAACAGCCATGAAACCTGGACGGATGGATAGAACTTTGTTAATGTTGCATCTGAAGCATGATCCTACAATGCAGGTCTCCCCCAGTCACCTAGAATTACATAGAAATTGTCAGATGAATGATGAGCTCAATTTCTGCATTGACTTGAACCTCCTGATCTAGAGGCGAGTGTGCTACGAACTGAGCTACATCGACTATGTCCTTACAGTATTGTTAAAAAGATCTTCTTTTGTGTTGTTTTTCTTCTCATGTTAACTCCAACTTTATCCTCCCCAGAACACTCCTCATAGGTCCAAAGTTCACTTTTCCAAACCCTTGCATATCTGTTGTTTTTGGCATTAGTCTTAATCACAATATCAAATCTAACTATTCAATGATCACTGCAGTTCAAACACTCACCCACGTCTAGATTACCAATCAATTCTAGGAGCTTCTAATACTAAATCTAACAACCTACCTCAAGTAGTCTATCTTAATTCACAAGGTGTATTGAGTACCAGTTATTCATTACCTCTATGAAGTTTCTTGTACTTTCACCCCTGCTTTTCAGTTGTCCCTAACTTGTCCACTTTAGCTCCAAGTTATTAAATTCCTCAATGTGAGCACAACAGCTTCACCGCTGCCTCTCTTTCTTGACTAAACAGTTCCGTAAGTATCTTGAGCTGGCAATTTTTAGCAATTGCCATTCATTATCTTGTTACCTTCTTTGCAAGGTTTTACTCTGACTACTTTCTGCTCTTCTCTCCTGTGAAGTCACCCTATTAACAACAACAAATTATATTTGTATAGTGCCTTTCATGTCGTGAGGACGTCCTAGAGCGCTATCGACGACTACCATAATATCCCTATCCACTAGTGGTGGCAATCCTCTGCCCAGCCTAACTTTGTATAACATTCTCTTCCCGCTTAGTTCCATCTTCATCTTGTAACCATAGTTTACCTAAATTTACATACACTGTGCAACACGGAATCAGGCCATTTGACCCAACTAGTCCACGCCTGTGTTTATACTTCAAATGAGTCTCCATCCCTAGGGTTCCATTTATCAGCCCACGATCCTTGACTTGCTATCTCTTCTCCTTGAAAATAAAAAATGTTCTATTCATACTCCCATATATCACACAACTATAACACACACACATAATCCATTGTTCATACAAAAGACAACAGTCTACTTTCTAATGAACCGATCATCTGCATCATTGATCAACTGTCAACCTCACTCAGTTGGTGGCACTCTGACTTCTAAGTTATTGCTTTGTGAGTTTAAGACCCACACTGGGACATTGTTTCATATAGTCAAAAATGATACTCCAAAGCAGCGCTGGGTTTGTACTGCTTTGCTGGAGATGCCATCCTTTGGATGAGATGCTAAACCAAGGCCCCATCTACCTTCTCAGGTGAATGTTCAAGATCCCACAACATTATTCAAATAGAGAAGGCAGTTTATCCTGGTTTCCTGGACAACCCTAAATAAAAATTCATCACTTTTTATAGCTGATGGTGGGACATTCTTGTGCGCACACCTGCCTACAAAATAGTCACAGCACTTCACAGTAAATCACACAAAGCACTTTGAGATGTATTCCCAATTTTAAATGCAAGAAACAAACTACAAATAACAACAACATTTGTATAGTGCCTTTCACATCAGGAGGACGTCCCACAAACAACAAATTGCATTTATATAGTGCCTTCCATGTCAGGAGGTCGTCCCAAAGCGCTGGACAGTGAAAGCAAGGATTATTTTATCCTCAGATACCATCAGATTGTTTATTTGTTTACCTGGTGCTCTTCATTTGGACATCATTCTCTGCACCGCATTCAGTTAATGTTTCCACAATTAGCCAGGCCCCCATTCAAGACTTCAATGGAACATTGCTTCTGGAGGCTGTATGTAATGTAAGCTTTATTGCTGTAGCCTGAAGGAATTGTTGCCAGTTATGCTACTCTTCTGGTAATAATAATACTTGCATTTGATATAGGGCCTTATCACGTTTTCGAGACATCTCAAAGCGCTTCACAGAATATACTGTAAAGTGAATTGACTGTATATTTTGTGGGCAAACCGTGGCAGCCAATTGCGTGCAACAGTGTCCCACAAACATTCGTGGATTGAGTGACTGATTTATTATTATTTTTTTTTATCTTTACATTTTCCTTTTTTTTCCGTTTGATCCTTTTACCTCTCACCTACATTCAGCCACAGCTTTAATTATTTGTATCTGGCACATGCAAACTCACTTCCTCTCCAACTGTACTCTCCCTCAACTGCCCATGTCTAAAATATGGGCATCCTACAGTCTCCACTCCAAGTGTGCAGTGAGGAGCAAGAATGTGTAGGAAAGAAAAGCAGCATAAGAGGACACAGGTTCAAGGTTGTGGTCGTCGATTTTAGGTCAACACCAGGATGTGCAGGTCGGACCCTGTTATAATGTAATGGTTTTGGTACATTTGCATTATAACAGGGCTGATACATAAATAGCTAGTGCTAATATCACTGCTTCCCAGGTACACAGTACATTCATGCTCTAAAAAACCTCTGCTGGGGCATTTTATAATGGGGTTCAACTGTATTTCTTTACACAAAAGGCAATGAACAGCTGAAATAGGCTACACCAAGAATGATAGTTGAGGACAGGACATGGAACTCAGCTTCATAACAGCTTCATATTTAATGGAAGGAAACCAGGGTAGATATTCTGGAAGAATAAGATCAAATGGGGTGAAGGGCTTTCTTCATCCTAATGTGTGTTCTCCTGTAACTACATAATCAGAGTTTGGGACATTCCTGTTCCACTGGTCCATTTTGACATTCTGCAAGTATAGCGTAAAACTACTTTCTTTATGGACTCGACCCACCAATTTAATCTTCCATCTAAATGTTCCCTGATCCCAAAGTCAGTCAATAATAATAATATTTCTTACATTTGGTATAGTGCCTTTCACGTCAGGAGAACATTCTAAAGAGTTTCACAAGATATATTGTAAAGTGGTCTGACTGCGCGATTTGTGGGTAAACATAACAGCCAAATTCGCACAGCAATGTCCCACAAACAAGCATTAAGTAATTAGCAATTTTGTTTTGTATATTATATATATATATAATGTAAGTATAGAATATCCACCTATTTCCCCCAGCCATTTGCCTTCTACAAACAAGATTTCTCTGTTGGGTAAAATTTAACCTGAGTCCAGATTTACTTTATTAACATCGCATTTCAAATGATACAAAATTTGTCAAATTCTTAAACACAGCCTTAATTTTAAGGCCGATTTTCTGTAAATTAATCTAACAATTGTAAAACAAAGACTTCAAAATTAAGAATTGTGCAAAAATAATAATGATTCTTTAGTATAGCGACCATCACGTCAGGATTACTTTTCAACGAACTTCACAGGATATATTGTAAAGTACAGAAGTATATTTTGTAGGTGACATGCAATGGTAATAGAATGAATCCAGATCTGGATGCAATTTTATCCCTCTGGTTTCCAATCCCAAACCTTACCTCTGTCACAATGCTGGGGGACGAGCCATTTTCAAACACCCACCCATCCTGGCACCCAGTGAGCGGCAGAGTTCTGGAGCTATTTTGCACAAATGGCAGTGGATTGTCACAGCTCACAGAAGAAGCGTTCCAGTCTATATCATATCTCTCACACTGACTGTATGAGGATCGATCATTCCTGCTTAGGGGAATTGTGTAATTCTTCTCCACTTCTGGAGACCAGTTGCACTTATTACTCAGTTCGGTCACTCCAGGACTCCGGCACCAGTGATCTGGAGTGATTGCCAAAAAAACAAATCCAACATACAAATAGGAAAACAATGCCGATGTCAAATAAATTAGGAAGAAAATAGTTTTTTGATAAATTCCAAAAACTCCCGCTTCCTCCAGGACATTGTCAAAGGTCGGCATGGCTGAATATGTTTTCGCCCACAACTAAGGTGAAGAACCAAGTTACTTCTAAAAGAATGTCTCATCTGTGAACAGATCCTTTCAGCTGAAGATTATCAGCAGCTCTATATTCCAGCAAACGAACTGCAGACCAAAGGTCTACAAATTAACTGTTTAAATCAAGGGTTTAACTAAGTTAATAAATGAAAAGACAAGCTATTTGTCACATTCATGTAAATAGTTCAGGCCGGATCTTACACATGATAACAACTAGTTTTCAAACTTAAAAACTAAAATGTGTTTTGCTGCATGAATTATTTTCCTTTTATTTCAGGGTCCTTATGAATTTTAAGAAGGCTGAGAAATTATCAGTACAATTCACCATTTCAGCTCAAGTTAGAAAGTCAACCTAATCATGCTTAAATTTCGGCAGACGTGATTACGTTAGATATTTAAGTTGCTGTTGTTATCAATTTTATTTTTAAACGCAAAGAAAGAGTGCTGGGAAATGGGAATCACGTTTCTCTACAATTTCCTGTCAATGTCACAAGAGAAACTGATAACAACAATTTATACAATGGCCTTCACGCGGAGTAGCGTCTCGGAGCGCAGTACAGTGGTGGAGCTTGAAGCCAAGCCAGGGAGAGGGGGGAAGTGACTGTCGGCATGGACGAAGAGGAAGGTCTTCAGGTGTGATCTGAAGATGGCAAAGAGGAGGCAAGTCAGAGGGTTTGAAGCAGAGAGTTCCATAGTTTGGGAGAGCGGTGGCTGAAAGCAAGGCTGTCAATGGTGGAGCAGAGGGGATGAGGGATATGGAGGAAGCTGGAGCCACATTTAATTGCCGTCACAGATTTGCCACACTTTGGCACTGTGTCACCAGAAAGATGCCTTCTGTGTAAAATGAGGGCAGCTTTATTTACTTACACAAATGACATTTTTATAGAGTCTATAATGTTGAAACGTCTCAAAAGAACTTGATCGTAGTTATTCTCAAGTGTAGTGATTGCTTTTTTTTGTGGGCAAATGTGGCAGTCTTACAGTCGGCAGTGAGATAAGCAAATGAACATTTAATCTGGAACATTGTTGGTCAGTTCACAGAGAAGAACTCCCTACCCTTTTAGACCATCATCAAAGGACTTTTAACATTCACCTGAAGAACAGGCAAATAGACCTGAGTTTAACATGGCATCTGAAGGATGGAAACTCTGAAACCATGTACCATTCAGGAGAGTTGTCCGACATCGCCTGACTCTGCCACTGCCTCATCCCTCAGGCTGCCAAAACCCTCATACGTAACTTCAAGGCTTGACTACAGAAACTCGCTCCTTGTCGGCCTCCCCAACTCTTCCTTCTATATCCAGAACTCTGCAGCTTGTGTCCTCTCCCGCACCAGACTCCGTGAACCCATCACCCACAACCCCACTCTAGAATTCAAAATCCTCGTCCTCACTTTCAAGGCTCTCCACGGCCTTACCCCTCCTACATCTCTGACCTGCTGAACCCCTATCAACCGGTCCACTCCCTCTGCTCAGCAGGCTCCAGCCTGCTCCAGGCCTCCCGTCCGACCCGCCCTACCATCAGCGGCCGGGTTTTCAGCCTCTCTGCCCCCACCCTTTGGAACTCCATCCCACAATGCTTTCGCCTTGCTCCCTCTCTTGCCTCCTTCAAGGCATGACTCCAGACCCTCCTTTTTGACCATGCCTTCAGCTGCCCTCTTACCTCTCTGCCCTCCCTCATCCCAACCCTGCCCCCCACGCTCGGGTCCTGATCCCTGACTGTTCAGCACCTTGGGACGTTCTCCTGACGTGAAAGGTGCTTTACAAATGTAATTTTGTTGTTGTTGTTGAGTCAGCCTGGCAGAAGGGAAGGAAGTAGGGTGGCTTTGTTAGGAGAGCTAGGTAAAAATGGGGAGAGGTATTAAGTGGGGTGCCTCAGAGGTCTCTACTGCTAGCCCTCTTGTGTCTTATAAAAATTTGCAGATTACACCAATGATGGGAGGGGGACTGTAGAATCAGAGGAGGCAGCAAAGGTCCACAGCAAGAGCTTGATAGGGTATGCACATAGGCTGATAACTGGTAAATTAAGTTTAATACAGATAAATGTAGGTTACATTACAGATAGGAAATAAGAATAGGAAACATGGATAGGATTGATTTCAGCTCACCCCAAGCGGGTGAGCTGAAAGAGGGATTTTAGTGACTCATTGGTTTGCAGAGAGGTCAGAAGATGTTGCTCAAGCTCTGCACCTTCAACTCGTGAAACCATCGCCCAAGGGGAAGGGACGTGTGTCCAAGCTGTGGACAGGAAGATGGTGGCAATGCTCTCACATTTCACGCTGAGCTGTATTGCCCACTAGGAAGCTCGCAGGGAGTTTCTAGTACTGGCTCCAAGGCGACATGTTTGGTAACAATCGGAATCAAACCAACCCTCTAAAGTGGTGTTGGTAGCCCAGTTCCTGAGCCAGGCAGGTCTACAGTACTCCAGGGCACTACTGATGACATGACAGCCAACCTGAATCATTGGCAAGACCTGGAAGAGCAGACCAGTCATTGGGGGCCATCTCACAGACGAGTCATTGGGGCCATAAGCCATCCCACTCAGCTCCTGTTAACCCTGCAAGCCAAAGCCTTAAAAAGTAGGATGATTCTAGCTGGACAAGTAGCGGGAAAGTTTGCTAGACAGTAACATGCTATGCGGTTCTAGCTGGATAGACTCCAGCAGTACCCCAACACACACTCTGGGGTCTCCAACCTTAGGCCAGGTTGGGTTCTTGCAAACCTGTGCCTAATACTTTTCAGAATTAGGTAAGCAGCATGTGCCCCTCTAGGGAGAGAGAGTACATTGCATTCCAATAAATATCCCAGGAATTTTTATGTATAGGTGGGATACATGGAACCTAACAACGACAACAAAATTATATTTGTAAAGCGTCTTTCACGTCGGGAGAATGTCTCAAGGCGCTGAACAGTTGGGGATCAGGACCTGAGGGGCAGGGTTGGGGTGAGGGAGGGCAGAGAGATAGGAGGGTGGCTGAAGGCATGGTCGAAAAGGAGGGTTTTGAGTCATGCCTTGAAGGAGGCAAGGGAGGGAGCAAGGCAAAAGCATTGTGGGATGGAGTTCCAGAGGGTGGGGACAGAGAGGCTGAAAGCCCAGCCACCGATGGTAGGGCAGATCGGGAGGGAGACATGGAGCAGGCTGGAGCCTGCTAAGCGGGGGGAGGGGACAGGTTGACAGGGAGTCAGCAGATTAGAGATGTAGGAGGGGGCAAGGCCATGGAGGGCCTTGAAAGTGAGGATGAGGATTTTGAATTCTATCCTCTGAGGGATGGGGAGCCAATGGAACCGGGCAAGGGTGGGGGTGATGGGGTCAGGAAGCCTAGTGTGGGAAAGGACACGAGCTGCAGAGTTCTGGATGATCTGCAGCTTGCGAAAGAAAGCGTTGGGGAGGCCGACAAGGAGGGAGTTTCTGTAGTTGAGCCTTAACAGTTTTGATATTCTTAAGCATTGTGATCAGACGCCCGGCTGACCAAAAGAAAACAAATCCCTAACCTTCAGTCCTTTCATTTATGTAACTGAATATTGAGAAATAAAATGTAACTTTTTAATTTGTCTTTGGATCAGGAATTCAGTCAAAGATAAAACACATTGGAATGATTCTGCAAATTAGTAACCACATCTTGTAAAACTATATAACTTCCATGAGAAGCAGAGCAGCAGCTGATACTGAGAAAGGAAGCATGGGAACACAGAAACAGGAGGAGACCATTCAGCCCTTCGAGTCTGTTCGCCATTTAATTAGATCATGGGTGATTTGTACCTCAACTAATCCTTACAATTCCAATTTCCCACTTTCTCCCCATATCCCTTAATACCCTGACCTCCAAAAATCTATCAACCTCACTCTTGAAGGTGTGGATGAATCCATTATCCACAGCCTTTTGCGGGAGAGAATTCCAGATTTCTATTACCCTTTGAGTGAAAAAATGCTTCCTGATTTCACCCTTAAATGGTCTAGTTTTAATTTTAATACTATACCTCCTTGTTTTGGATTCCCCCACCAGAGCAAATAGCTTCTCTGTATCTACCCTATCAAATCCCTTTATCATCTTCAATACCTCAATCAAATCACCCCTCAACCTTCTAAACTCAAGGGAATACAATTCAAGTTTACTCAGCCTTTTCTTGTAACTTAACCCTTTTAGATCTGGTAAAATTCTGGTGAACCTGTGCTGCACCCCCTACAGGGCCAATATATCTTTCCTGAGGTGCCCAAAACTGAACGCAGTCTCCAAATGGGGTCTGACTAACACTCTTTCCAGCTGAAGCATCATTTCTTCCCCTTTGTATTCTAGAAAAGCAGATTTTCATAAAGCATTAATTCCTGACATATCCTTCCGTGTATTCTCAAATAGATCAGTTAAATAGTAACACTTCAGCAGAGAGCATAAACAACTAGATCTTGTTTTATTGTTGAAATCCTCCCCCACTTATCCTTCCTCCTTGATCAACGCATAACTCCACTACTGTAAAACACACTGAGACCTTATCCTACTGTGAAGGGTAAGTAAATGCAAGTTGTTGTTTTATTCTATTTCAGCAATCTCAAGATATCTGCTGGTGAAATCCATTCACAATTGGCAAGAATATTAAGTAAAACATTAACTTGAGCTGTTTAAAAATTGCAATACCAACAAATTGCATTTGTATAGGCCTTTCACATCGGGAGGACATCCCAAGGCGCTGGATAATGCGAGGTTTGCACCCGTATTGCAGGTTGGGATCAGAGAAAGGAGAGAACAAGGGGGATGTGGAGGAGGGAAGATGATCTAAGGCACGGTTGAAAAGGAAGGTCTTGAGATGGGCCTTGAAGGACGCAAATCAACATTCAACTGTAGGAAATTGGCTCTCATCCAGGACTTGACGTCTGACACAAATTCCATCAGGACATCAGTGGTCCTGGAGTCCAGGATGGATGCAGAGAGATATAGTTGAATATCATTCGCATACTTGTGGAAGTTGACCCCACATCTACAAATAATATCCCTGGTGAGAGCATGTCGGTATTAAAAAGGAGAG